CTGTATCAATACCTCTCACTCACCTGCGGTGCAGCTCTGCCAGTGCTCCTCAAGTCTGACCTTAAACAAATCCTCATGGCCTTTGTTCTTCTGTTTGAAGTTCTGAATGTTTTAGTGTTGGTGGTAGTTTTTGTGCATAAGGATATGTTTGTAAATAAACAATGTAATTAATTTGCCTATAGAGTTAAATTAGTCCAACACCAGTTGTAATAAAACCTCTGCAACAGCCCTTTTTGGACTGGTGGTATTTGTGGAAAAAGAGATATCCTGTAGAAAGAAATGAGGGTGACAGAAACCAGAGAGGTGAAAAAGTGTATTATGTTCCTCAAGCCTCTGAGACAAACACCTCCTCTGCCCTGGAGTCAGACTGGAACTGGACTCTTACCCTCAAAGTAAAAATTCTTCTAGTCCCTGGGAGCCTCCTATCTATTTGTATTCTGCTCTATGAATAAAGCATGTGTGTTGGTTGGTGTGTTTTTGTCAGCAGGTGGCAGCAGCATCTTAGGCATGGTGCAGCCCCTTGGAGTTAGTTTACTGACCTGATCTTTTATGCTCCAGTTTCCCATTTCAGTCTAGGTGTTCAGTGTGTACTAATCTGGACAATCTCCTGTCATCCTACAGCTAGTGAGAGAGAGTGGCTGAATCCAGACAGGTTCCTTGCTGGGGAAAGACTTTGTCCTGTATTGCCCTAGAACGTCTTTCTCTTTCATTCTCTCCTGTCTGACTGTTCGCCTCAGTAGACACTGTTCTGCTGTGTTCATCTTACCAGCTGTCCCAGCCTGACCTAATACTTATGTAACAGCCATTCAACTTGCATTCCTTTGTCTCCCCTTTGCCAAACTCCACAGCTGAAGCTGCCATCCTACCTCCCCTTTCACGATGGCAGCACAGTCACAGAAAAGCCAGAGACTTACAGCATGGTTGCTAATGCACTGGCTGCTGAGCAGGCTTTTCCCTTGGTAGACTCTCATGCCTAGGTCCCTGTTATCTCCTAATGGGGCAGCCTGGGCCCTCTTCCTTCCACTTCCTGTGCTAATCTGTTAGCTTCACAGTCAACTTCTCTCTCCTGCTAACCATAGGAGAAACTGCTTTCCAGGCCCAGAGGCCATGGTACAGAGCCATGGGCAGGCATGTTGTAAACTATATGTACCACCCTGTGTTTTCTACTCCTGGTCTTTCTTGTAGTGGGGAGCAGGACCATTGGTGGGAGTGGTTCTTAGCTACTTCAGTGCTGGTTTCCCCCAACAAGAGGCACTATAGTGGTGGTTGCTAGGATCAGGGTGTAGCAGTTTGCAGCTGTTTGGTTGGCCTGTCTTCCTTCTGCACAGAGTCCTCAGCAATGTGTTTCTCCAGCCAACACAGGCCCTTTTGTTAGTGCAAATGCTCAAGTAGCTCAGGAGAGAACGTCCATCCCCTCCTCTTCCTGACTTCTCTACGGCATTTTGCCCAGGATCTGCCCCATGTCCTGGTGGGTCAGAAGTACCAAACTGTCCCCACTCCTCTGGTGTGGTATAGACCATCCCTGTGGCCTTTAATTAAAGGTCATAACTTCAATTCGAGCTAAACTTAGCTCCCTCCCACTTTCCCAGCCCTGGGAATAGCATCTGGATGAGGGGAGTTGGATTACTTCTTAACCAGTTGACCTGTCTCTGCTCCTCTTGGTATCTGCTCTGCTACCCATTCCTATCTGTGCTTTGCTTTCTCCTACTGTCTCCTCTCCCTACGGCGCCTATGCTGCTGTCCCCCCAGTCCTGGTAGGCAGGGCCAGGGCCAGGGCGGAGGAAGGGTTTACTCCTTTACTATCCGCACGCATTTCCATAGCTCACCCGGTCTCACGAAAGGGAGACTCCTTAGAGCTCTCCAACGTGTTGTTTGAAACACGCTCCAGCTCTCACCCTTCCCGCGGCTCCAGGGGAGGGGGGATCTGTTCTGCACCAGGGATTTTTGTCCCCGGCTGGGCACTGCCACTCCTAGCCGAGCTGACTGGGGGGCGGGCATCCCAGCTCGGGCAGGGCGTCGCCGGGGCACTGCTGTGAGAAAGCTCATCCTGCAAGGCTCCCACCCGGGGCTGCACGGGTGAGGTGAGGTCGGCCTGTGAGCCAGGCAGGGCCCGGCCCAGGAGCAGCTCCTGCCGCGGGTGCTCCCCCTCCCCCGCACAACGCCGC